GGTCAACGGGGGTTGTCAGCATTTTCTTTACGATTTGCAACGCCTCAATAATTAAGCAACTAGCTAGAAGCAAACATGATTAATTCATACAGAACCAGCAGCAGCAACAACACCAACCAAGTTGCTCATGGCGCCCAAATATCATGCAAAACACACATCAGCATCATAATATTTAATAATAGATAATAAACTTGGCACCAAGTTTTTGCTACGCATTAGAATATGCCTGCTGTCTAAAATATATGTATGCAAAAGGGAGACAAGGGAGGCCTCATTGATTAGATACCCTGTAGTTAAGTCTATGCCTATATGTACATATAACTTAAGTCTTGATCTCCATATGGTAAACGAGAGAGTCTATAAGATCTAGAGACTTGACATTTTCAATTTATATGTCATCGATGGAAAGGCAAACAGACTCGGCTGTTGAAGCTGATCGGGAATATATATACTTTATGAGATCTGTGGTGATTCCTTCAGCTAATTACATTACATACATTTTCATCACTTTATAATTTCTATTTTTAACCATTTTTAATTGGTTTTGAAAAAAAGGTACTTAAAATGTCAGCTGCCTTCGACTTTTTAAATGTTAATTTATACCCTTACAGAGGGAGTTCCATTTTATAGTGAAGCTTGTAACACACGATAGAAGACGTCTCCGACAACATTAAGTATATATTTTCTTGAATTTTTTTGTTTACAAAGTTATCCAATATGCGTACAGCTATGCTTCTCACGTCTTAACAAAAAACTCCTCAATATCGGATAACTATTTCTTATAGTTACCCAAGGAACAATCGGTTGGTTGCTTGAATTTATAGTAAAAGTTAAAAGTGGACAAGGGAATGAAAACTTCGACGCGCCCAAGTTAGACGATCTTTCTTGTTAATTATTTATTTTATATTGATTATATTTAATGTTTGCACACATATGTAATAAATTAAAGGTGCTCGTCATAAAAGCTGTCGATAATCAGCTCCCTGCATAGCTGTTAATTGCACAGGGAGGGGGAGCGGCTGGATTGGAGGGTTGACTTCCGTATGCACAGGCATTGCTCGATGGTAGCGTAATTTGTTGAAGCCGTAAAGAACAATGGCAACGCTTAAAGAAGCGCTTAAAAAAAAGAGTCTGTAGAAAAAAAAACAAAACAAAAGAAGAAGAAAAAGAAACTGTGTAAGAAAACATCATACATGGCATAACAAAAGCCGCGTGTGAGACGTTTGGTAATGAAAGCATATTTTAGCATTGTTGATGATGGTTGCCAGTAGCCGTAGATTTGCAGCTGATTTTCATGTGCGCATGACAGCGCAATACAATGCAATGCAAACGAAAGACTCTGGCGACGAACGTGCAAATTGAAAACCTTATGAGCTGCGCTGGAAGCTGAGCAGCTGAGTAGCTGAGAAGCCAGCTTAGACTCTGACAGAAGACGAACAACGACGAGCAAAAAAAAAAAAAATAGCTAAGGTCGCCAAAGCGTGCATAAAAACTCAATTTTCTATCTTTTGTTGTTGGCGCAATTTGGGTGCCTATTTTGGTGTCAACACACATCATCATCACACAGCGGCATCGATGACAACGCCAACGCAAAATTACATGTGATATTAATTTTAGCATATTTTCATTAGATTTTATCTGTAAGTGTCAATAAAAAAATCTAATTATCAGCTGCATTTAATTGAAACAGTTTGTTTTTCTGCTTTTTTCTGTTTTTTTGGTGGGGCAGTCACAAGGTTGTTACGTGCCTCAGAGAGATGGCCTACAAAATGGGCACATGATGAGATGACTTAACAAACTGGGTGTAGCTTTACAGTTATGTGTGTGAGCTCATGCTGCAGCTATGCAAACTATGTTTTTGTTGGCTTAGTTTTGTTCAAAGCGTTCAATGTCTTGTCAGCTTTAATGGATTACTTAATTATTTTGTTAAGCATCCGCTTTTGGCGCGTTTTTTGCTTTTAAAATGCAATTAATCATAAGTGAAGAAATTAATGTATGGCTTGTGCATGAATTTGTGTATTCTGTACACGCTTCATTCTATGCTAATTGTGTGTGAAAATAGTAATAAGTCGCCATCGTTAATGGCAACGTAATGTGATACCATAAACATTTAGACTATGAGTGCCTTTGTCTGATGTGTTTGTTTCTCATAGCTAAATAAATTAATTAGTCAACATACAGATATGGTTACATACAGCTGTGGTCATAATAATAGTTATAGTACAAGAAATACATTTTATGGAGAACTTGCCATCCTTATTGTTTGGCAGGTGTATTTTGAAACTTGCATTTTGTCTTTGCCAGAGTCCAGAAATCAGTGACTAATATTACTGCTGCAACCTTCTTATTTTTTTAGTAAGCCATAATGCTACTATAATAACTTTAACTATCATAAGTCAAACTTGTTATTTAGAATGCTTTCAAAGTAAGCAGATAACTCAATGCTGTATAATTGTGCTTAATAAACTATAAATTATACTAGCTCAGTTTACATTGTTATGCAAAGAATTTAATTATTCACTCTTCATTTATTAATATTGATATTTGTCTTTCCCAGTGCTACAAGCTGAATCTTACTATTTATGACACTAGTTTTTAATGAATATTCATATATTTAAAAGTCAACTAGATACATAATATACAGTTAGAACAGACCAAGACAGGACTTATACAAAAGAAATATGTAAACAGGTGTGAGTCGAAATGTTGAGTAGTGAAATGATCAAAAGAAACTAGTCGAATGCAAAAGGCATTAAACATATTTATAATTTATGCCATTTTATGAGGGAGCACTACCAAAATGTTGAGCACAGCTGTATGTGTAAACAATGCGCACAAAGTACTTGAATGAGTCGGCGTTAATTTTTACACCAATGATTCTTGCGCATATGGATAAACACAAACAGCAGCAGAAGCAGCCACAGCATCAGCAGCAACTGCATATTAATAGATAAAAGATACAAAAGATACGGACCAAAATGAGCAACTCACCAAAAAAAAAAATTGCACAATTAGCAAAAGTTGGCTGACTGACTGACTGACGGACAGACAGTTACTGGCAACTGTTGTCAGTTGGGCAACATTAAAAGTCCTCAACCATATTAACACTTTGGGCAATGTTTTGCGGCGCGCCGCAGCTCTCAAAATTTGTGTCAAACCCAACAGCAGCAGCCACAGCCAGAGCCACAGCAACAACAACAATGATCGAAAATCATGCAGTAAAGTGCACGACCAACCAACAACAACAATAGCAAACTATACAAAGCAGAAGACAAATAAAGAAAATGGAAAATACAGCAGCGTCTACATAAACAGTACACGATTTGACACACGTTCCACATTTATGTGGAGGGGGCAGGCCAATGAGGAAGTGCGGCAACAAGTGACACAAGTTAAGCATCTTATTGCTTCCTCATGTGGCGCACATGCCACAGCATTAACTGGATGTCAAAGCTGAATGCCATTGTTGCAACTGCCACAATATGAATACAAACCAAATCTAGCGAATGCCTAAAAGTATGCAGCATTATTTTCATATTTAAATCCCACTTTGCGCATGAAAGTATGGCATATCAATATATGACTGGCAACTGGAGTTAGTTTCGAAGTAAATTCAACAGTCAAGTATATTGCCGGTACTTGCCAGATATATCATATATTCTGAGCACAAGTCAAGTCAAATTTCAGGAGATACTTCAGTGAGGAGAGAAATTCTTTAATCTCTAGAAACACCTCAAACTTAACGGATTGGCAGCGGGACTGCAACTTTTTACTTATGATAATCCACATGCCAGAATTCTAAATGCCAAGTTTGGCAGCCCGTTAACAATAATAATACACAAACATCGCTTAAATTTAATTTGGCGCAAAATGTATGCCATTTTTAATTGAATTATATTACGAGCGAATTCTAACTAAGAGCGAACAAAACTTTTCGTTGGTATGTGTTGCTATTTTATGCATACATATAAATATATAGGTATATAAAAACTATTTACAAAACGTCTGTAGACCCAAAAATAACACCCATCCATCCATATAGCAATATATATCCCAAATGCATATATATGCATATTTCAATCGATTTGCCCCTTGTGCGCTATATAGGAATCATAGAGCGTTGACTGCTTGCGTCTCTTCAGCCGGGAACAGGCAATAAACAGGGTCACAGTCAGCACACAGAGCAATGCCGAGCAACTGGCTGTCAACGCCGAGAATGTGGATGTTTTGAGGCAGGTCTGATGTGGCAGCTGCTGTTTGGACTGCCGATGGGCATAGACATCATCGCCATCGGATTCGCCCTCCTGCAGCACACGCAGCGATTGAAACAGATTCACATTCTCCGACAACGCTGGACTCTCCGTGGCCGTGTCTACAGCATCTGCTAGCGGTGGCAACGATAGATTTGTGGCCGTCATATTAGAGGTGTCGCGCTTAGTTACCGCCTTCAGATTGCGCCAGTGGCAGGGCTGACTCTGTGTGGTACACAGAGATGTGCAAGATTAAGTAAACACATTGATCAGTTAAAGATCAGTTAACTCACCGGACAGCGTCCATGGCACATGCGCACATCGCACTCAATATACAGCGCCGGGGAGCCAGTGAAGCGAAATGTTTTCATATAGGCATACACCTGTGTCTCATACACACCCGAATCCGACCAGGAGCCCCTGAAGCGTGAGATGAGCTTATCATCCACTGGACAACCCTGCTGGTCAATCAGCTGTATGCGCTTATTGGCGCCATTGTGCGCATAGCAATCATTCACAACAATATCAAAGCCATCTAGGAGGAGAGAGTAGTTTTATATGATTATAGATTTTAAGTTTTGACCACCCACCATATTTGCTTCTCATGTAGATAATCAGTGTTAGGGGATCACCGACACGCACTGGTCCAGTTACGCGCGGTCCACCGATGCCATAACCATTCTGGATTTCCATATAGCACTCGGGTGGACTTAGCGTGAAGACCACAGGATTGCCAGTTGCCACTCTAGAAATACGAATGTATTTTGTTGAAGATTATGGTATGTATAAAGTATATAATGCTTACTCCACATCGAGAAAGGGAAATGTGACCGTCTTCCAGAAATCATAGCCATATTCGCAGGTGACTTTGAAATGCTCATCGTATTCCTCCTCAATTAGTGGATTATACTGCACTGTCACCGTATTCCACATAAAGTTCTACAAGATTCAAGATACATACAGGTTTTGCTTTCACATTCAAATTTATCTCCGAGTCGAGCTCTCTCGACTTGCAACTTCTTTTCTTGATGCATACGTACTGTGGGATTCTTGCGACTCTCCTCCTGCAGCGAATTCTTGCCCAATGTGCCACAGCGATTCAATTGTATATAGAACTCATAGTAATCCCGACCAGAACCATTGATATACATGCAGTCGGGATCGTAGGCATAGCCGGCAGAGTAGAGAAGACCGCTAAACGAGCCATTGAAACCAATTCGAATCTTCATATAATCATCCTGGCACTCTGCCTCAATATCTGCAGAGGAGATGAGATTAATCACAAATCGACGATTAACTTAAATCTCAGAGCTACTCACGCTGCACTCTGGTACTGTTGTGGGTGTATTGGTGTCCATTGTAGTCTTGCTCCCAGTACTCCTCATGCCACTTGTTGCCATCGAAGGGCACCGCATGGTAGCCAGCACTGCCTGTTGGTGCACCACTCGAATCTACGCCAGTGGAACCATAGTCCAAGTGTACGGGGTGGCCAATACGCTGTGGCACATAGCCAGAGGAATCGGGCACGTGATCGGGCTAAGATTTGGAAAAAAAGAAAGCTGAGTTATCCTTGGCAATTTTATAACATTCAGTCTGATTATTTTTGCTGAGTGTATAGAGCAGTAATCTAAATCAAAATGTAGATCTCACCACATCGTGCTGCAGCCTGTTGCGTTCAACGGCATTGCTGCTGCGATTGCGCACATCCTTGGCAAACTTCTTTTGCAGCGACAAACCGGCACGCTTGGCCAGCTTGGAGGGCTGGGTGGTGGGTCCCGAGATATACGATTTGGAGGAGAGTGCTACTAGCTCCTGTTGCGGCTCATCAGAGGCACTGGACGCCAAGGGGCGACTCGTTCGCTTGCTGCTCGAGTTGCGCGGCGTTGTTGTCTGCACCCGTCCCTTAAAGCTGCGCACTGGCGTCGCTGCGGCTGGTGCTGCTGTTGGGGAGGCGGTTGTTGTTGCCACCGCTGCCGCTTTGCTCACTATGGCATAGTCTGTGCTCAGCTCAATACACCTGCTGGGCTGTAAGAGAGAGCGAGAGAGAGGGTGTGGGTGGAGAGTGGGGTAACTCTTGATAAATCAATCTGGTCTTGTGGCATAAAAGTGCTGCATCAGGGCATTAAGAAATTGGCAAGAGAGGCAAGCATAATTTGTAGGCATGCCACTTCTTCCGCTCGACAATCAATCGACGGTGCTCTGGGAAGCTACGCAATGTGGCAGCAACAGCATCAGCGGCGCATATCCGTTAGACGGGGGCCAAGTGATTGGCCAACGATTGGTTACGGTTCATGTGTCCGACTGGCTGACTAGCTGACTAGCTGCCTGCTTAGCATAATCAGGAAGTTCATTCTTAGAATGCAGTTTAACTGTTAAATAGATTAGATTTTTTTCTTGCCCGCCCAAAAGAAACAGAAACAAAAGACTTAGGCAACGAACTTGTGCTTGCGCTTGGGCAACAAGTGAAAGGCAAAGATTCTTAGTTCTCTTACCTGCAGCATCAGCATCAGCAGCAGCAACAGCCACAAATAGTTTGTAAATCTGCACAGCTTCATGTCTCGCATCCAACTGAACGAACTGCAAAGAGGTACAAATATTCAATATTATCATTAAACAGAAGGCTAAAGCAATAACAACAAGAACAACAACAACAACAACATGGATGTATTATTGCAACCTTGTTAATGATCACTCAAGTGTTCAGGTGTTCAGCCTGGATGCATCAGTGTTACATCAAATGCGTAGCTGGCAGGAAGGAAGTTTGTGGTTCATAAATTAATTATGGTCAATATGCGAAGAAAACATAAACATAAACCACAACCACATAAGCAACAACAACAACAACAACAACTACAACAGCATCTGTTGTTGGAGACGCTATCAATGTCGTCGCCGCAGAACAATGGCTGACAAACGCTCGACAGCCGCTAAGGTTAAAGGCATAAAATGTAAAACTGTCAGCTGTAGGACGCTGCTTTAATTGGTATCGTGTTCATAACTAGTTATATTATTAATAATTAGTAGCTATATTTAAAGAGCTAGCATCATTCTAAGAAGATGCCTAACTGACATGAGACGTAAACTGAAAGTATTATAATTATGATTGCAACAAGCAAGAACGGCTATCTTAGGCACGCTACAGCTTAAATACAGCAAATTAAAATAATGCAGACCGGAGTCAAACTGCGAGGAACTAAATTTAAATATAAATTGAAAGGAACACACTGTGGGATCTATATAATATAGTAATCCGATGCTGATGAGTTGTTGGGAGTATTACAACATGCACAACTGTTAAATTTGATTAGGATAATAAGCAAAATCGTTTCTTATACGAGGGCACATATTTAAAGTGATTGTTCCAATGTCAGCTATACGATAGAGTTATGAACTGAAATATGTTGTGCCTTAAGTTTCATAAAAACTGTGAGAAACAGAATGACAGAGAGACCTGGATAGATCTACCCGGCTATTGAAGCTGATGATGAATATATATTATTTATGGTGCTTTTATTTTTATATACAATCCGCCAGAGGATAAATAATTTTTAAGTATTTCGATATTCGAAGTATGCCCACAGCTATATTAAATAGATCTATATTAACTTACAAAGGCATACACGTAGAACCCATTTAAGTAGTGGAAGCAACTTGTTCATTTGACAATCTAGTCTGTCTATAAAGCGTAAAGGTCAAAGACACATAACCAACAACTGTGCGCGGCTCTGTTACGAGCTGTATTACGAGCTTTAATTAGTGTTAAAGTCAAACATGTAGAACACTGTTTAGGTAGATTCTGCAGCTAAGCTCAAATGAGATTTTAATGAATGACTCGCAGCTGTGTCAAAAACCACAGACGTAAACACAGACACCGCACCACCTCAACCACCCACAGCACCACTGCCCCCCTCCGATGGGTTGCCCGCCAAATGGTTGGCTGCGCTTTACGCTTAGCTGTAAAAAACGCACGCCGTTTGCTTAATTGTTGTTGTTATAATTACTTTGGCTATAGCTGGCTTTGGCTTTAGTTTTAGCTTTAGTTGTCTGCCGTTTTTTGTTGTTTGTTTTGCTTTTGCTGGTTTTACATCTGTTATGCAATACGTGTTGACTACTGCTTTTCGGCCACCTGACTTTAGTTTTTTACATGTGGTTTAAGCTTTAGTTTCGGTTTCGGTTTTTGGCTTTCATTATTTTTTTATTTTAGCTGTTCTTTAATGGCGGCCACGCTTTGCTCCTCTGCCTTGTTGGCTTATAATTATATTTAATTGTTGTTGCCTGACCTTGAGCCGTTTATTATTTTTATAGATATTTTTTTCTTTGTTATGTTTCATACCTCACATTCACCCACAATGCTGGTAGATCTGCTAACGGCACAAAATGTACGTTTAACACGAACCGTTCAAAAGCAGCTGACAGTTTTTTTCTTTTTAATACTGAGGGCGTTTGCGCAGTTTATTGACCGCATATCTTAAAGATAATAACAGCATTTAGTCGGTTGATATAATTAAGTTGGGTTAGCAGGGGAACCAATGGACTAAAGTTAGCTTCAGTTAGAATGTGCTAGTCGGGAGAACTCGACTAACGAATACCCTAAATTACTTAGTAGTGATTTAATATGCAAATAAAATCTGTTTTTCTTATCCCACCATAATTAAATTTTTAGAGTTATATGTCTGGTTATATTATGTGTTATTTAAAATGATATATTTTAATAAATGTGTCTTCTAGTCCTATCACAAATCGAATTGTATCCATAATGTAAGGCAGTCATCGATCGACGGAAATAAACTCGATCTGCCTATGTTATACGAGAACTTGTATACCATTTTTATGGTTTATAGCTCTTATATTCTATGAGGTCATCTATTCAAACAGATTGTTGTTCAAGAATAGTAATACCTTATGAGGCGGAATATGCTTCCCTCTGCTTGTTATATACAACTTCATCATACCCTATTTCCAATTTTGCAATGGAAAACCATGATCAGCAAAAAATGAATATGTATATTTAACAGAGCTAACTGCTTGATTAAGATAAAAGCGCTGACATAATATCTACTCGTATTATACACTCACCTTTGTTATATCTACTATTTCCACACCAACTTCCGTTTGGATTTATCGCCTTTTCCAAAAACTGACCTGCTCCAAGCTTCTTTTTCGTGTAGCTTGGCAGGCAAAAAGTTAAGGGTTTTATTTTTAGCTCACTCACGCACTTTTTGACCAACTGACACGGCAAAGACTTGGCCCATTTTCTTAGCTGCACAAGAGTTGACGAGCCGTGCCCAAAAACGATAACAAGACACACACTTGAAATGCGTGGCCAGATCTATAAAGGGGGGAATTGAGTTATTACACTTTCACGATCTGACCAAAAAGACGAGAAAAAAACGCCGACAAATTTTGAATGGTGCGAGTATTGCGCGATTTTGTTATGCTTGTTATGCTGCAGTTATTGTTATTGTTGTTTGGCCCGATGTTTTCTACACCATTTATGCCATTTATCTAGCAGGCTCTGCCTCACATGCTTTACATGTTGCGCGTCTGTAAAACTTTTGTGCGGTTTTCCGTTTTTTCGGTGGAAGCCCGAAAAATCACTCAAGTGCAACTTGCCAAATAGAATCACCAGAGCCGGGCCAGCTTTGTATATATGTTTGTATACGACTCGACTAACGATTGCCAAATCTTACATAAGAGCCCTCCTTTATGAATTCCGAATGCCGTTTAATGCCGTTTTCAGACAAACAAAAGTTCCGATGCAGCAGACCTTATGGTCTACAGCTCTTCAAGTTACGCGCAGGTGTGAAGCGAAGCGCGGATCGCTCGCATCTTTATAGAGTTTGGCCAACTGCTTACAAGAACTGAGTATTACAGCTGAAGTGCTGAAGAGTGCTCAACAGCTCAAGAGTAAACCACAAGCAAGAGCACTTTGGATTGTGAAAGAAGCTGCCTGTTAGCCCAACTGCTACCCAGCTGCCCAGCTACCTATCTGACTATCTACCTAACTGACTATCTAGCAACACTTGCAAAAAATATGTGAAAAAACTGTTTACTTTTGCTGGCAAGTGTAGCTGACCTATTATAGTATGAGAATAACTAAATTGTAGACTAGGTTTTGTCTTTAAAGAAAGAGTTCATTAAACTGTAGTCTGATAATAAATAAATCTTGCAAGTATATTCCAGGTTTCATCAAGATCTCCTTAAACCTAAACGAAGGTATTCAAACTGATAATAGCTTATAATAAAGTTGGGGCAAAGTAGATAAAAGACACAAGGAAGCTTCTCTCACCCCAAAAGATGTATATAATCTTGATTGCCATACGCAGATCCAATAAAAAGCTACAGCTTTCCAATTGATACATAATCAGCCAGATATATTATTGATCAACTGTATTTTTTCAAAATCAAATTTTATAAAATTCGAATAAGAAACACAAATTGTGTTGAACAAACCTCTCCTAGCCGAGCACTCTCGACTCGCACATTCTCACTTGTTTTTGTTATCAGTGTCAGTTTTCTCGACTCCAGGGCGTACATGTTTTTCCTCAGTGTATCTGTTAGCCCAAGAGCTGCAAGTTCGCCTTAACAAGAGCTAACGGTTGCAACTGCATTTCGCATTTCGCGTTTTGAATTTTACTCTGCTTTACTTTCGTTCACAATTCGCCGTTGCTTTTGGCACTTGGCAGGGCGGAAGTGCAACAGGAATATGGCGAGTGTTGCGTATGTTGCAGGTGACCTATTACCCATTACCTGCGTCAAGGTCAACGGCACCTAACTGTAAGTCGAACGCGTGCAACATATTGCAGCAGCAGCAGCGGGCGATTTTCCGAAGCGTGTCTGCGTTAAAATACAAATTACTAATTAGTTACTTAGCACTTAAATGTCGGCTAATTAAATGCTCCACTCTCGGCAAGTTGTGAAAGGTACTCCCCCACTTAATTGACCCTGAATAGCGCTCTCTAAGGCAAGCACTACACAGGTCAGCTCTGTTCCAAGGGCAGCTTATCTATCCACTGTGACGAGGAGGACCACAAAAATACTGACCTAATTTATAGCACATAACTTAACATTTATGATTGATCATGATTTAATTTGAGATCTGTGTGCTTAATACTAAAACAATTCACTTTAAGTTATTGCATTAATCATAATTTACTTTAATAAACTTAAACTCTTTCGTTACGACAGAATAAAATCAACTCACTTCAAGTCTTGGTAATTGGCTGATGATTAATCTTGAGGATGGCCTTAACCCATTGAATATGCATTGAAAGGGTATAAAGCTGAGCAAAAGTATGTAATAAACAGAAGGAAAAATTTACGATCCCATAAAACATATATATTCTTGATCAGCAGCAATCACCGAGTTGATCTAGCCAGTTTAGTTTGTGTTTCTGTAAAAACAAACCGATCTCGGAGACTATAAGAGCAAGATACTTGAAATATGGAAAGATAGATAAATGTGATTGATTACTCCATTTCGCGATTATCGATTAAATGTCAAGTAATACAACCCTGTCCCAACTATTTCATTCTAAATTGTCTCATTTTGCAATGTTTTTTTATGAAAACAAGAATTGTTTTAAGTTTGTAGCATTATCATTTTTATTGGGTTTTCTATATTTTATTTTATTATATATATTTTTTTCTCATTTTTTCATACTTGCGCTCATTTTTCTCATTCATCAGGCATACAGCAGAGTCATATACTTAATATATAGATATATATTTTCTTGTTTGATATACTTATTCTCGTGCCATTTGTAATACATTTTACATAAAAGTTAAGCATATGTTTCACAATTACATACCAAAAAATAACATAAAATTAATAATTAATACACACAAATTCATCAACGCTTTTCTTTAAAACTAAATTCAGAACTTCGATCGATTTATAGTTAAATACATAATAAATAATAATAAGTTTAAAGTTTAAGGCTACATTAATAAAATGGTTTTTGTTTGCATATTTTATACATTTCTTTTTTATACTTTTTTTTGTAAGTTTTTGTAAACTTTTGTCATTTTTTGTTTTTGCATATTCATTTTGAAAACTTTTTATTGCATTTTTTGGTATTTTTTTTTAGTTTTTTTATTTTTTATTTTCATTTGTAAATTGAAACTGTGAACATTAAAAACTACGCATTTACACAGCATTTTTTTTTTTTTTTTTTTGTTTTTACACAATTACTAATTGTTAATTTTGTATTTGATATTTTTGCGGCTTTGTTGATTTTTATATATTTTTTTTTGTCAAGTTTTTATTTTGAGTTTTTTTTTGGCAATTTAAAATACTAATTAAAATTATGCGCTTTGCCTTTGCGTCTTATTTTTATTTCATTTTGTTTTTTTCCATTTTGCCATGATTGTTTGAATATTTTAAACTCCCGCCTCCTCCTTATAGATAGAGAGTGAGGGAGAGAGAGGGAGGGAGCGTGTTGTTTATTGTTGGTTGGTTGTTGGCTGTTGGTTGTGTGTGAGCTAGCAGCACTTGCGATTGTTGTTGGCGCCGCTGACCAACTTGCAGTGCTGCATCTCCGAGCGACGAGGACGATGAGCCTTCGCCTGGAAGTCGCGCACCTTGTTGGCACGCTTAATGGCGCTGCGGCACAGCTGCTGATGCTGCTTCTTGTTGTTGCTCTGCAAATTGAAAAATTAACATTATAAATATAATAATATACAATATTACTATTAATCTAACGTATACTACTAGCAGCTGCCAGGCTTATATATTTATTAAGAATCCACAAACAAGTTTTCTAAAGAAATTCGCTATCAATTCACAGATTGAGTTTGATTTATTAGCCATACTGGAACTAAGTAAACTTATAGCTACAAGTAAGTTGTAGCTCTGACTGCTGCATATGCCTCTGGCTAATGATAATTCTGGGGTGAATTGACATCTAGTGGATTACAAAGATATTGAGGTGATTGGGAATGCTTACACTACATGGTCTAGTTTGAACTTATTTAAGTAAGTCCTTAGAGAGTCTGACTTGTTCCACTAGAAGATATTCAGGGTATCTTTATAGTTCTCAATGGGCCCTGATAATCTGCTAGTCGAGCTCTCTCAACCTGTTTTCTTTATATAGACATACATATATTTCTACATATTTGGTTATAATTTCTCTGAGTGCATAATTTATGATCATTCTACGAGTTTCGCTTACCTTCTGGCCCTCACGAGCAAGGGTCTGCTGCTTCAGCTGCAGCGCCGCATGGCGATCGAAGCGAGCGCTGTTGGAGCTTGGCTGCCGCAACACAGTCTGAGCCTGAACCTGGCCCTGGACCGGAGCCGGAACCGGAGCCTGCTCCGGCTCCAACTGTGGCTCCGGTTGCTGCAGTTCAGCTGCTCCGAGATCAAGATTTACAAAACTTTCGGTGCCCGCCTGGCTGGACCTAATACTATGATACACCGACATGCTGCAAAACAAAAAAGTCAAAGAAAATTGTTAATTGAAATATTCGAAAAATGACAAGTATACGACAAGTATTTCAAGCAGTAGCGGGGGTTGAGAGGGGGTTTAAGATGGGGGGTAGAGTTTTGAAGAGTTGTAAGTACAACAAAAATCACCAACCTTGGATGCTCAATCAATAGATTCTCAAAGGGTGATGTTTCCATATTGATTGGCCCAATCGAGGTGAAGCATGGTGGCGGTGTTACGTACCAGGACTCCTCCATCATAACGCCGGCCGATCCACAACCCTTGCCCGAGCTGCTGTCCGAGCTGCTGCCGCTGCTGCTGCTGCTGCTGCTCGAATCGCTGCCACTGGGCGAGCTGGTGGCGCCCCTCGATATCGAGATCGTCATCGGTGCATACAGCGATTGGCTGACAGCTGCCGACTGGCTGTCATCATCACAATTCTCGCTAGCTGCTGGTGCTGCTGCCACAACGTTGCGCGTTGAGCTGCTCAGCGTTCCACGTGCCGCACGCGTCCGTTGCAAATAGTTGCGCTGCTGCTGCGGACGCGGTCCGCTGTACAAGGAATGCGAATTGATGTGCTGCTGCTGATGCTGCCGCCGACGAGCCGGTGCCGAAGCGGCACCAGCAGCTGCTGCTGCTCCGCCGCCGACAGACTTCGCCTGCAGCTCGACGACGGACAGCTCCTCCTCGGAATCGCTGCGTGGCAGCGAATCCTCCTCCTCCTCTGCAAAATTTAAACATGCCAGGTATTATTAGTTATTATACATCTCAATAAATATATTTGATAAGCCGCTGCTTCTCTCAACTTACCCTCCTTTTCGACAATGTACCATTCGTCCTCGTTGAAGTCCTCGTCGATGGCGCCTTGTCCGTTTGGGGTTAGTAGCTTCGATAGAGTTGGGGTTTGCTTGCGTTGTCCGCCCTGCTGCTGCTGCTGCTGCTGATGTTGTAGTTGTTGCTGTTGTTGTTGTTGTTGGTGTCGCTGCCTGCCACGCCTATTCTTAGCGCCTGAACGTTTAACGGTGGCACGATGATTGTTGCCAGCAACAGATGGGGTGGTTGAGGTCACCTCGATTACATCGCCGCGCGATTGATCGTTGCCAATTGGAGCTACGTTGGAAGCGTTGGCCTGGACAGGATTCGTATCACTATTTTGAGTTGAGTCAGTTGACGTCGCTTGCGCTCCAAATAGAAACGTTGCGAGACTGCTAAACATTATACCAAGCTGGTGACTGGGTTTGCTGGCGACTGTGGATTGTGGTCTGGTCTCAGCTGATTGATTGATTGATTGATTGATTGATATTGCTTATCAAATTGAGATCAATAGAGAGAGATAGTGAGTCAGTGAGACACAGAGAAAGAGAGAGATTGCTTATATTTCTTCCTATTTTGTTCCTGGGATCAGTCTTTATTTATTTCTTTTGTACGCTGTTCCTTTTTTTTTTGTCTGCAAGCAAAAGAAGAGTAAAATATTTAATTAACAAATTGCATACTTCATTTCAATGGAAAGGCAAAAGTGCACCTCAAATTTGTATAAGAAATACAAAATAAAGAAAATTTCAATTACTTTGATTACACTAATTATTTACGCTCTGCGAAAAAAAAAATTACTTTTTCTTTTTCTTCTTCAATTGAGCTGTTCACAGTTTGACAAGCACTGTGCGAACAGCAACATTTATTGTATATATTATATGCCATAAAGCGACGGCTGCCACAGCCCATTAAGCTGCCAAGTTGATAGCTGGATGCCCACCCAAGCCCCAAGCCCCACTGCCACCTCCCCTCCCTCCTCTCCTCCCGGCTCTTATGCAAGCCGTGTGCATGCAGCGAGCATATGATCATGGCAATTATATATGGTGCTATATACACACACATATCTGTATACATATATATTATATATATATACGCCGACATTTAAATTGAGCGCACGTCATAGACATCTCAATTTGTATCTGCGGCTGTGCAACCAACAGTAAATGTATCTGTATCTGTATCTATAGCTGTGACTGTGGCTGTGGCTGTTTTAGCTATTGTTGTTGTTGCTGTTGTTGTTGTTGCTTCTTTAGTTCCACTTTGCCATTTGAATTGCACTGCAAAGCATTTCCATTTCCAGTCTAAAAAAAAAGAAAAACATAAGAAAAAACTGTGCCAATGGGCAAAGCAAAATGATGGCTCTACTTTATGGCAATTGTCTGTTAAATTGTGATTGTGAGTGTGGCTATGTGAATGCACTCACACTCACATTCACACTCACACTCACATTCGCAGTGCCAGCTGATGGCTAAAACAGCCAAAATAAACACAAAGCAAAACTTCAGCTGAAATCCAATTGCAATTTGACCGCAAAAACTCTCTGTCTCTGTCTCTGCTTGTGTTTCTCCAGCTCTAACTAGGGTTCGCCAGTGAAATCTCAGCAGAGACACTCAAAATCACTAACAAGCATAACAACAGCCAGCATCTATTAGCCTGGCTAACTGCAGCAGCAGCAACAGCAGCTTGTAAACACTTTTGTGCGACAATTTGCCAAATACTAAACAAGCCAAATGTCAGCGAAAGTTTGCCCAAAAGGATTGCTTGTAATTTAATATGTATACATCAGCTGACAGATCAACTTTCACTAGAACTTGGAGCAATTAAGTTCTGCAAAGCACCTTTTGAAACCTCTCTGAATCTGATCCACAGAAATTACTCATTATTTGTTTTCAATATAAGCCATTTAAAAAGGGAAAGTGGGTAATTTGCAGGTCCAATAATAATATATTACTAATATGTATACATTATTTTATCAGATTACTTTCACTGCAACCTAAAACAATAAAGTACTGTCTTAATTGAGAGAATGGTTAAATATTCGCATAATGTAATATAATTCGCATAAATGCAATAATAAGTAGAAAGGAATTTAAGCTTCAGATATTGCTTGTATTATTTACCAACTGTCAGCTAAACCTTCACTAGAACTTAATGCAATAAATCGCTGTCTTAATTAAAGGAACTTTTACAAAGCACCTCTCTCACTCTGTCACTCTGACTGCCTCTCTTTCTCTCACTCTCTCTGTTTACAGTTGCACATATCTTAGCGCTTATTTGGCCTAATTAGCTTAGTTTAGCTGCTGTTAAATGCAAACACAGCTGTCTGTCATAGGCAGTGTTTACGTCGAGCAGCCTGTGCCCAAAATGTCACAATTAAAAGCAAACACTAAACAGTGAACACTGCATATGGCATACTCAATATATATCTTGCCTAATATTGCCAGCAAGTCTGACGTCTGGCATGCCAAGCATGCATATATTTCAGATATGCATTCTATATATATATATATATATATATATATATATATATATATATATATATATATATATATATATATGTATATAATAATAATAATAATAGCCTTTACGACATCCCCTTTGGCTGTTGCCCATTTTAGGTTTAGTGCATTCCATGTTGAAAACACGTACCAAATTCAACTGCGCCTCAAAAACAATATTTGCTTTTAGCTTTTAGCTTTTATTTTGCCAATTCACGCTGAAAACAGCTGATAAGCGTCCAAAATGGAATGCAACAAACAAATGCCAATGACTGCTGTCCATAATATATATATTATATATTATATATATATATTATCATAGAAATAAATTTGCCATTAAATCATTTTCACTTTTGTGTCTTTTTTTTTGCAGCTAACCTTGACCATGTAAATTATCTGTCAGCTAGCTAAAAATGTTTGTTTGACATCCAATTTGCAATTGTCTTACGTTCAGTTAAGGTATATATATATATATATATTTGTGTATATAGATTTATATATCTATATATCTAGCGTTTATTTTCGCTGCGACCTTGATCGATGGCTGCTCACTTATATAAGTCTAATAGAGGCATCATATGTAGTATATACTACATACTATACCTATGTATATATATATTTATATAGATTTAACCTTGGCAGAATGCATTGCCATTCCACTCCCCTGCTTAAGTCAACAAAGTGTGGTCTCTTTTTGTGTGGCATTAGCCTTTTTTATTATTACTGATTAAGTTGTGTGTTCATTTTTGCCAACTCATTTGCTGTTGCGATAAGAGCCATACACAAGTCCAGACTTGCTGACTAGACGGCGGCCCAGTGCCTAGTCTTATACTATATCGTATACAACTAGCTGTAACTAAAGTCTAGCGTGTCTAGCTGCTAACGAGTCGAAAGTTCAAGCGATTAAATCATACACGGGCAGGCTGGGAATACACGTTAATTGAGAATCGGGTTGGGGCTGGTTTAATGAACTTGAACTAATTACGACAAGTTGGGCAAGCTAATAATAGCTGATCACGGAACTAATCAGAAACTAACCAAAAAACAAGCAAACTGAGGAAAGCTAATCTTAAACTTAGATTTTTAGACTACAAGAAGAATCAACCAGTCAGAGGAAAACAACCTTTTCTACATTCTCAAGCTGCAAGAAAACTTAACTAGACAAGAAAATAAATTTAGATTTAGATAAAGACTAAATGGCAAATATTGATCGCAGAATGAAAAATCTGCCAGAAAAATGAACTCTATAGAGGAAAACTGAATTGCAATATTGAATCTAGAATGTAAAATGTTAAATTTAGATTTTTCAGCTGCAGAGAAATTGTAAATTGTAAATATTGATTGAGGAAAGCAACATTGAAAATAGATTTTTGCCCTGCAGTCTCAATTTAAACAGATGATAAACAAGAACATAAAATTGATGTAAGTAAATTTAATAAATCTTAGCAAATAAATTCTTGATCGCCGATTTTTAAGGCACTCTTCACTTGTCATACACTTTTCACTCGAATACAAATTTAATCTCAGAAAATATATTCTTAGTCTTATGATTTTTAACTTCACTTCACATTCTATAAGTTTTTCACTAGAATACAAAATTAAACTAACTGTATTTATTCTGCAACTTTCATTTGTAGATTCACTTCACTTTCCGTTAGTTCTCCACTCACATCCAGAATGTGAATACTTTAGCTGAAGTCTTTAGCTATTGCACAATAATGAGTATGTCTATTTCAACAGCAAATTAAATTGTAATTACCAATCGCCAACTCAGCTTTCAATAAGCAAACAAAGAGCTATATGCATATATACAAATATACATACATATACGCGCATATACATATATACAATGTATATAGTAAATATCTAAAGCTTTTCAAGTTCCACACAAAAAACATCAGTAGGCCGCCCACACTTGCGTAAGGCCGCCCACACTTGCGTATGTATTTCAATAGGCGTATCAGTTAAACGTATCCGATTAGTTTAAAGCTTAAAGTGGCTTTTGTTTCTTTGTTAACTATTGCGCAAACTTGTGAATATTATTATTATTTTTTTTTTTACCTTTTAGGTCAATATGCTAATTTTATTTGTGGACTTTGAAAACCGCAAAGTCAATAATAACTTGTTAGAAATAGTAATAGTGATAACAATAAAAAGAATACTTAAAGTGTAATAAAAATTAGTTTAATAATAATAATAATAATAATAATAATAATAATAATAATAATAATAATAATAATAATAATAATAATAATAAAAATAACAATAAAAATATTAATGTATAAATAAAATATAAATTATGCAATGGCCACAAAGACGACGTTGACGTCAGAAGCGACCTTGTGGCGTACCACAAAAAATAATAGAAGAAGCATCACCAGTAGCTGAGCATAATTTTTAGCCACACCACAAAAATATATATTGCACTTAATTAGCACCGTTTCGAGTCGAAACGCTGTTCGTGCACATCAGCTGTTTTGCTCACCTGGAGTTGAGAATTCAAAGGGCCGATTTCACAACTGAAAACAACGTCCGCAACACAAAAATGAGATACAAAAATGAAACGAGCAAACGAACAAAAGTGCAGATACTGCAAAGTCGACACTCGTTTGCCAACTGAAACGGAAACGTATTTGAATTTTGAAAGCGCACCAAAAAGAACAAAAGCTGCACACACAAAAGCTGAGAGAGAATCTATCTGTGTAGTTGCTGTAGCAGTAGCTGTACCTGCATTTGTAGTTGTAGTTGTAGTTAGCTTAGTTTAGTTTGAGCAGCGCACTTTTTTGTTTTGGTTTTTTTCAACACTTTTTTTGGGGGGCGGGGGGGATTTATCTCGAGCATTATTTTATGTTGAACTTAACTATTTACCTAAGAGTTGTTGTATCCGTGTGTGTACCGTTTCGTTGTATGTGTGTGGGTTTATTTGTTTCACTTTTCTTTTGCTGCACTTATGCTGGTGCTGCTGGTGCTGCTTCTGCGGCTGTTGCGTTTGCTTTCAAATATCAGAGACGAATGTCAACTTGGCCTCAGCAGCTGCTCAGCCGAAGCAGCAAGCGCAGAGAGAGCAAAGAGAGAGAGCTCGGCAGACTTCCAGAGAGCGAACGATCCAAGCGAGCGTATCTAAACACATAATTATGTATTTTTTTAAAACGCAAAAAGCGACAAAAGCAACGTGTGAACGGGAGAGGGAGAAGCGAGGTGGGCAACTCATCTTTTTTCAGCTGGTAAACAAAAGCACAATATGTTTATGCTCCAAAGCAGCTGAGCGGACGAGCTCGAGATGAACGCAAGCCGAACACAAGCCGAGCGAACAGCCGTTCGCTTCGTGCACATTCGTTGTCTGCTCGATCGATCCGATCATACGCAGAGTTCGTGTTATTTTGTTTACCAACAAACGCGCAAGTGGTGCTCGCTCTCTCGCTCCCTCTCTAACAACAGCACAGTCTCGCTTACACTTATTGTCTGTACACACACACACACAGTGACTTTAATAAGCTTTTGCTCTCTCAGCTCGATCAGCTGCTCTAACGTTTGCGCACTGACACACTTTTGTTGCCCCTTCCCCACCTCGCTCCACCTCTCTCACTCTATGCGTCTCTCTCTCCCTCTCTCTCTCTCTGGCGCAGTTACTTTATTTTTTTCGTTGGCTGGCCAGCCGAGTGGGGCTCATCGCTAGTTGTTTTTGTAGTTTGTGACTAAGAGAGCAACAAACAGAACTGCCAAAAAAAACATTATGTATGTGTGTGTGTAGTTGGCTGCTGTTGTTATGCTTATTTTATATGTGTTGTTGCATTTTCGTCTGCTCAAAGTTCAATTTTGAAATAAAAACAAATATACAATGCTGTAGACTCTTTAATGCCCAGTCACGAACAATCAGCTTTAGAATTTGAATCGAGACTAAGCATAATATTGTAGTTAAGCATATTTATTAGTTTCGACGTATTGAATTGCCAGACGCTGCCAGAAATTTTAATTAACTGGCATGCCTAAGCTATATACATACATATGTTTGTATACATATGCAGTCAAACTTTGCTAGTCAAATAAGATAATCACTTTAACTGTACTTTGTTTACTTCGCTCTATGAAAGAAACCCCAGCAGCGAAAAGATCCCATTACGAATTCGAACATATAACATTTTATGACTTATTCTAGGATATATAACCACTATAAATAAAAACATATAAACATATATAAATTGTATAACCGATATTACAAAAGCACTTTTTAGAGAATAAAATTATGTGCATTCAGAATGGATTCAGTAATGAAATGTCATTCACTACTTCACTGCTGGGACACTCTAGCTGAACAATTTGCTCTTCTAAAAACATTAGAAAGAAAAATTAAACACAAAATTCACCCGCACAAAAGCTTTCATAATTTCACGAGATAAAGAAAATCAACAGAAAAAAAATAAAAGAGAACAGGCAAAATTAGCGAAAAGCTAAACAACCTCGCGGCCAGGTTCAAGGTTACTCTTTTTGCTTGTTCTATGTTCTTATTTTCATTTGTATTTTTAGAAATTTTATCATCAAGCAACAGCTGACACAAAACTGTAAGAGGGGGCAGCCAGGCGACAACTTGTAGCTAGGGCAAAAAAATAGCTGACGCAAGGCAACATTTCACCTTATATACACATGCATATACACATACACACATATATACATTGTTTAGATACATACAGATATGCGTGCGTAAATCTTGCCTAAAAAAAAAAACGAAAAAATTCGAAAAACAGTTTTATAATATCAGTTTGCACGCGTCTCGATTGTTATAAACAAAAGAAAAAAAAAAGCAGAATGTGCCACTAAAAGTATGTAAACAAACTTTGGCGTCATTGCATAAAAACATCAAAACAAAAAAGCCCAAAATATAAACAACAAGCACAACCCAAATAACACTTTAAACAAAAATAAACAAACAAAATTGCTGGAATTTCTGTTTTGTTTTGGTTTTGTTTTGGTATTGTTTTTTGGGGTCCTATCTAATCATCTTTCTTGTTTACTGATAAACCAACTGGTAGCCATTTAGAGCCATAAATTAGCCTCATCCCTGCCGAAACTCTCCGACATAAAAAGTGTTTGTCAGTTTCTAAACAAACTCAACTCGACGGCGGCTTCATCAAAAACAGTGAAATACAAATCTAATATAAAATGCTGATCAAAGCTTGAGCATTTCTCAACTGCGCATAACCCAAACCCAACTGAATATCACCTCTTCCCACCCACAAACCCCCTTCCCCTTGTCCTTCCCTATCCCCAACCCAAACCAACCCCAACTGCGCTTTGAAGAGCATAGCTTGGAACGCAAATGCAAATGCGCAGTTTTTACAGTTTGTTTGACAAAATGCTGCGAGACTTAATCACATCTCGATTTCTATTGTGCCCCAGAAAAAAATCGTACACTTAAAGCCCGACAGAGACAGGCAGAGAGAGTGACAGAGAGAGAGAGAGATCGACTAGCAGATACCCTAAAATTAGCTGTTAACGTAAAAAGATGTTCAGGTTAACAAAATCTGTTTCTTCTACGATATTAATGCAATTTGGACAGCTGATCTATAATATATCTGAGTATCTTAAGTATCATAGCTATAGCAATCGAATATTTATCGATATGCGTGAAATAAAATGAGCTTCATAAATTGAAATCTTTAGCTTCTATAGTCGGACAGATCGGCTTGTTCAACAGACAGAAACACGAAGAAGGCAAAATGGACTCGACGTTTTATGCTGATCAAGAAAATATATATTTATTTAATGGAGTCGCAGATGCTTTCTTGGAATCCAACTTACGGTCTTTCCCAGTTTTTATGGGTTCAGGGCATTCAAATATTTACTTACAGAACACTTTTAAATTGTGATTTCAAAATGTGAATTTAGAGAAAGTATTTGGTCAGACATGCTTCCCTCTCTCAGTCAAATACTTTTATTTTATTATACCAAAAAAATGGGTTCAGGTTATTAAAATACTCAAGTTTTAATAAATGACATAAATAAGTGAAATAAATAACTCAAATAATGCCAAGACACATTCGACTAATTGCAACTTACATAAAAACAAAAATATATATATATATATATGTGTATATATATATTTATACTGGGCTATATAAGTGCTCTACAATTCCAAAAGATTTCATCTGGGAATGACGCAAGCGTTTGATGATTTGCCGCACATGTTCAACACTTGTTCTGAGATTGTATAATACGAATAATTAAATGTGGATTGTGGATTGCGATTTGTGGATTGTGTGGATGGTGGATTGGGCAAGCATTTGGCAGTTTGCCTGTATGCCTGGGCTTATCGTTTGATCGATGATATATATACATACATATATACGAAGCAGGTTTCCCTAGCACAAGTATAATAATAATTAATGGCAATTTACTTATGAACTTTTTGTATTTCCAGTTCTATGCACTTTGCTAATAATCGACTTTTAAATGAGATTTTATTGAAATTAATACTAAGAATATAAACAGGAGCGCGTATTTATATAGATTTTATAAAGCGTAATTGCTAATGCGTCGCAGTTGATATATATTTATATATGTGCATATATTTTTAGGCAATTTATTTTTGCTGGGCGACGCATATTTCTTTTTATCACCTTGTTTATCAGTAAAGCAACGGCTCTCTTTAAATGTATATGTAAATTGCTGAATATATAGTATATATAGCTGGGTCAGTGGGTCAACCGTCAATCTATCAATCCAACTGTCACATTGATGAATATATCAAGGCAACCACAACATCATCATCATCATCATCGTGATTTATTCAAGAGTCGTAGCTCACATCACTTCTAATAAAACACCAAACAATGACTTAAATGCACTTCAATAGCTCTAATACATCAACAACTGATATTAGGGCGTATTTCAGATAAGATCAGATACTATCTATCAATGTGGTAGGGTTGAAAACTTATACCATCAATAATTTCTATCTCTCTAAAATTAGATAAGACAATTTCCACAGCTGATACTATTTCTAATTTAGTTCTGTAGAAAGTTATTTGGAAAACATTAATGAAAATTAACAATGATTATTTACTTTACATCAAATTATTATATTATATTTATTTATATTATCGTTATATTTAACGAGCAAACACTGTACTTTATCTATACAATTGCCGAGCTTGTTTTGATATATTTTGCGGTCAAGCTTGAAGGAGATGTCAACGACCCCATAAGGTATATATATATAAATTATTGACCAGCCACACTAGCCGAGTAGATATAGCCAAGTTCAGCTGAGCCAACCCTCCTCTCTTGTAACATTATACTGTATAATATATATCCATAAATGTTAAGTTATAGTTGATTATTGTAAAAACCAATACAAATTTGTTTATTATACAATAAAAAAAACTGCTTAACCAATTTAAATTGCTGCAATTTATATTTACCAGTAATAAAGCGAACAATCAAAGTAAACCTCAACCTTAAAGCTACCAACCCCGCCCCCTTCCCCTCTTCTTGAGGGGCTAGCTTCAAGCTCAGTTAGTAACTGGGCTCAGTTGTTGTTGTTGTTGATGTTAACTGTAACTGTTGGCCAAATTATTTCCCCTGCAAACACGCAGCCAAAGCATGTTTCTCTCAACTCTCTCTGTGTCTCTCTTTCTCTCTCTTCCTCTCACTCTCTGCATTTCTCTGTTGTTTACAAACAAATTGCTGTGTTTGACCTGCGCACTGGAAAAAACTTTCTTATATATACATGTATATATATAAATATATATATATATTTATGCTGCAATTATGTGTATGCTTACACACACATGTGTGTGTGTTGTGTGTGTGTGTACAGAAAGTAACGACTTCCTCATTGTGTAAAAAGTAGGCACCTAAAAATGAAACTTTGCAGCATTTTTGGGGGTCACCTTAGCTATTCTGTTGTAGGCCCACTGATTTTGTTGGTCACACACACGTAAGACACACACGCACACACACGTAACACACACACACACACACATTGCGTTCAATTTTGGGCTTGCAGATTATC